AAAATACATGTAAAATAATTGTAAATAGGTGAAAATCTTTGTTAAATTACAAATCTATCCATTTTCTGTATCTTTTTCTTTCTTTCTTTCTTCTTTCTTTCTTCTCTTCTTCCATATTTGAAAACCCTAATCATCGTTGATACCTCTCACTAGCGGTAGCATCCCTTTTTCTAACCTTACCAGTCGCTCGTGGCCCTTTCTCACCCACCTCCCTTCACCTTGCCTCACCAACCCATCGTTATCATTAACATCCACATACCCTTCTCCACTCACTAGATCGCGCCATTGCACCTAACAAACATTACAATATCTTTCTCTCTTTACTGTTACTGTCGCACCCAATCACCAATGCGATCGCACCTTTTTCTCTCAACCTCACTTACCACCATTGGCCCACTCCCCCATCACTTCCTTTTTTCCTCTCCTCACCTCTCCTCTTAGCCACCATTACTATCACTCTCATACTCTTCCATACCTAACAGATCGAGCTAACACCACCACACCAACCACTCTCTCTCTCTTTCTCTCTCTCTCAGTTTGGAGATTTGATCCAAATTTGGGTTAAGTGGTACAGAGTAAGGAAAGGGTCATCGATGGTCGGTTACAATGGATGAGGGGTGGCAGTAGAAGGGCTAGGGGTGGCGGAGAAGGATGCAACGAGGTAGGGGCAGTGGGGCATAGCTAGAAGAGGGGCTACAATCGTGAAAGAAAGATGAAGGAATGGTCGACGATGGTAATGGGATCTCCTAAATAAGCCACCTCTTTTTTTGAATTTTTTTGTCTTTAGTGACTTTTTTTTTCAAAATTATGTAAAAAAAAGAAATTTACTTTTCAATCTGTCTTGTGTAAATGAATCTATAAAGGTTTTTTTTTTTTTTTGAAAATTTTGAGAAAGCCAAAAAATTCACTATTTTTTGCCCCTTTTTTTAATATCTTTTTCAGACTTTTTTTTAGATTTTTTTGCAAAAAATTAATTTTTTGCCTAAAGTTTTTTTTTTTTAATTTTGTTTTAAAAAAAAATGAAAACAAAAATAGACCAACAAAAAAGCCATCAAAAAAGCAAACTCCAAACATCCACAAAGTTGTAGAGTTGTAGAGAAAGGGAAAGAAAGAAGAATGAAGGGCATCTTGGTCTTTGTAACTTATGATGCCATGATTTTATAATTTTTTTATTTTATTTTATTTTTTTTTTGGAGTGATGCTAATAGCCCTCACTTTATTACTTAAGACCTTCACTTACTTGTTTATATATATATATATATATATTTCAATAATATCCTCAAATGAAATTACTAAAAAAGACAAGTCTTCAAATATGACACTCATCTCACAATTAGAATTAAATTCACCACCAAATCATAACATAATCTGAGTTGAGAGTACTCACCTCCATCAAACTCACACATAATAAGAATTCAAAATCCTTAGAAGTCGAGTGCTTCAAATCCGGCAAGCCTTCTCCAATTGGATCAGTTCACATGACTCAAGACTTGACTTTTTCGGCTAGACTAGTTCTCATGAATGAAATTTTTTCTGCCAACCCCAATACAGTAAGAGGAATGGACCATCACAAATGTCAAAGCAAAGGAGGTTCACAGGTTTGATGAGGTTGGCAGCTCAAAGGAAGTTAACCTTACAATGGTGAGTTTTTTCAAACACATACACAAAAATAATAATAACGATTCAATCTTTTTTCGATACTAAACTCCTGAACATATGGCAAGAAATTGACAACATATAGACGAATTAAAGGCAATAATTCAACCATATCTAACCAAACATAGCATATATTTGTTTGTTAAACTTTGATTGATTAAACTTTTTTCTGATATTAGACTGTTCGGTAACACAAGTCTTAACCTAGACAAATTGTTTGGTAATTATAACAACCCCTACCTGTGATTAGCTTATAATCTATGATTAAGTATGCCTAATAAGTAATTTCATCATTAGCCTATAATCTATGATTAAGTATGCCTAATAAGTAATTAAGATGAAATTCTATGTTCATTGCATGTGTTATATGTTATTTACATTTATATCTGTCTATCGTAGAAATATATGTTCATGTTTCTATTCTATTAGGCGAATTGAAGGCTTTATCGGCATCTAATCACGAAATTGATTTGATTTATGTGTGATTTGGAATTTTTGGGAATTTATGATAGATTCAATTAAAATTCAATTCGGAACCAAATAATTAGAATAAAATAATGCAAATTTATTTAAGTTAAGCCAAGCTTAATTAAGTCTAATAATCAAGCCTATATAAGGCAACTTGTTGAACTTAAGGCCATTATTTTACACTTTCATTTCTCATCTTTTTGACTCAAACGTGGAGAGAGAGTGAGAGGGGTGAGATTCAAGTTCAACAACTAGAATAAGGGGAATTGAAAGGAATTAGCTTGGATTCTAGCTAGAACTTGAGAATTTAGGAGGAATCATTCAAGAATTCAAGGAGTTGAGGCTTGTAGGTAAGAATTGTATTCCTAAAGTTTGTATTCAAAACATTAGTGTATGAATTCTAGAGATTAAAGTGTTTTAACATGAGAATTGAGCTAGAAATGAAGGAATTTAAGTCATATCATGCATGCATGCACATTTCATGGTATTTTGAAGTTTTTTTTGAAGGAATTCTTACATGCATGTTCATATTTTGGTCTTGTTATGAGAATTCAACTCATTTTTGTACTAAACATCTCATTCTACCAAGATTTGGAAAGCTTGAACTCAAGAAAATACATGTATGTTATGTTTTCAATATTTCAAGTTTAGTTTTGTTCAATTGGCGTGCTTTTTGGATTTGATTTTACGAAATAATTTTGAATTCACAATATTTTACAAGTTTACATATGTTTTCTCAAGTTTTGGGCCCAAAAGGATGTGTTTTGTTGGTTTGAATTTAAGTTTTGAAGCTTAGAGAGCAATTTGAAAATTCTAGAATTCTACATCATCACTCGAGCGACAGAACCTACGCTCGAGCGACCACTCTTTGTTTTGCACTTTCGCTCGAGCGACCAAAAGTTAGCTCGAGCGTAAAATTCATGCTCCCAGTATTTTTGCAGACATGTGCATCCGCTCAAGCAAGGAAAACTGCGCTCAAGTGACCGTACCTATTTTTGAACCTTGGCTCGAGCAATTAGAAGTTGCACTCGAGCATAAAATGAAAGCTCCTAGAAGTTTTACAAAAGTTTGCAGTTCGCTTGAGCGAAGACTCTATTTTCAAAATTTTGACTAAGTGTTCTAATATATATTTTGGAATCCTCATTGCATCTTAGGCATTCCTAAGCCCTAATTAAGACACAAAAATGAGGATAAGACTTAGAAACACACTAAGAACGAAATGTAATGAGTTATGTGTTTTCCGAACGTGTGTTTCAATGTGTATCCATTATGTGTTTGTGTAGGTTACTCGCCATAGATCGTTGATCCGACTGTTTTGACTCTTCCGCTATTAGGGCTATCTGTGAGTAACAATTTTGTAAAAATATATTGATTATAAGTGTTTTCAGAATGATAAGATATGATCTATTTTATGAAATACTATTTTATGAATCATGAATGAATGTCCATTTTTCTGAAATGTATTTGTGGCATCCTTAGTTCATGTGGCCCTCGCCCGAAAGTAACAATACTGTGGCTTATGTTCATGTGGCCCTTGTCCAGGGGTAACAATACCGAGGCCTATGTTCATGTGGCCCTCACCTAGGGGTAACAATACCATAGCTAGTTGTGTATAAGATATTGACATTTATGGTCGTCGATACCGACTATGCATGTGGGTCTTATGACCAACCTGATCTGATAACTAACAGATATACCACATATAACTGCTTATGAAATCTGTATAAGAATGTAAATCTGAATCTGTTTTTGATATGAACTCTGATTTCTGAATCTGTATTGGACATCATTCATAACCCTTTAGTCTGTTATTATTCACTAGGTTCTAACTCACCTTATTATTTATGTATGTAGGTGATCAGGCGCGAGACCAGGTTCAGTGAGATTTGTCTGGAGATCTTTTTGAGTAAGCCAACCGATATGCCTCCCGAGGAGGTTCTGAAATGTTTTGTGATCGAGTCTTGTGAACATGATGCAAGTTTAAGTTATTTTCTTTTGTTTGTTTGGTCAGTTTCTTTGGATTTATTTATATCTATGGTGATATAAGACTAACACTCTGATGATGTCACCTATGTTGTAAATATAATTTTTAAATTTTATGTCTCATGTATGTCTGCGCAGCTCTATAGACGTTGTATGTTTGTATTTGCTTCCGCTAGCTCCTGTATTTTGTTTAATTTGTTCAGAGGCTTTTAGTAATCACAGGATTATTGGCCGGTTACGGCACTAAATCTATAAGGGCGGGTTTGGGTTGTGACAATAATATAGAGCCAAACATAGCAGAATGTCCAGTAATACAAGTCCGGACGTGGCTAATTCGTTCGATAACACATGATCGAACATAAATTTCGAGTTGGTTAAGGAATACAATCCCTAACATAAAATATATTGTTTATGGCGGGATTGACATTGGTAAGAGTAAGAGATCATCGACGAGAGAGAATCGTCGATGGTGATGGTAGGCTTTTAAGAGGGGGTAAGGTTGCGATGTTTGGTTTTTAGAAAGGAGTATAATTGCCGTGTGTGCTGATCCTAAGGGTGTGCATCTATGTAGATGTATGGTGTTTTGTAAGAATGATCATTTTGGTGTTATATAGAGGGTTTTTACAAATGTTCTTAATTTTAAATTTTGTAAGGGGATGTTGAAAAGGGAAATTCTACTATACATTTCTTGGAAAAAGTGTATCAAATATATTTCTTATTTAATTATGATAATATTTTTTTTATGTTTCATGAGATTTTTTATTATGTCTCATGTGGTATTTACTTTTTTTTTTCAATTATGATAAAAATATAAATTATGTCTTTTTTTTAATAATTATAAATTACATATGATTTTAATCTTTCCAGTTGTAAAAAATAAGAATTTCCTAACTAATAAAGTGGAGACTACTAGCCACACTTCTTTGCAATTTTGGAGAAAATTCCCACGTATTTGCAATACTTCAGTACGTATATACTGATTGCTGATTCATTATAATTTCCCGCCAAAACCAAGTATCAACCCCTTTATTAAACTCCCCTCCTTCCCCAAAACCCTAACCTTTTGAGCATCCAGAGTCCCAATTACCATTCCATTGTATCCAAGAAACCCTAATTACAAATGAAGGGTGGCACAGTTCAGATCAATTGGCACGACACTAAGCCCGTCCTGACTCTTGATTTTCACCCTACCTCTGGAATTCTCGCCACTGGCGGTGCCGATTTCGACATCAAGGTATCATCCCTTTGTGTCTTATATATTCCTCAGTTGATTCTGACTGCTCCGTGTTCAGCAAATTGTTCAATTTTATTTGTGTCAATGCAAAATTGGACTTTTTCATTTCATTTCATTTATGGGTTTTTGCATATATGAATTGTTCAGATTTGCTTTTGTGGAAATGAACAATCGTAGATTTCAATTTATGTGTGACTATTCTATTGTTAATTAGTTATCTGGGTTTAGAGTTTTAACATTGTTAATATTTTTTTTTTTGTCACGGAACCTATGTGGGTTTGGGTTTAGTTTCTATATTATTTTGTCACGGAACATTGTTTTTTTTTCGACATTTTAAACTTTATAAGGTTATAATTAAAGCATTAATTTTGAGGGTTTGTATCTATCTTTTGAAACCACTTGGGCAAAGGAAGTAGCAATCCAAACAGAAATGGGTGTTGCAGTGCCACGTGGGTAAAACAGACCTCCAAAGGACGCAACAATTTTGAAACCAAATTGGCTACATGCTTGAATGTCACTACCTTATCCCATCCCAACTGGAATAGTGCGGTGACTGACTAGTAGTCCTTGACTACCAAAGGCCTAACTAACCAAAATAATAAATAGACTGATAACAATGGGGAAAAAATAGTGGAAACTTTATATTCATTCATTTACACATCTAGAGGAAATGCACAGTTAATGAAACAAAACATTCCACTTCTCATTATATTTCGCAAAATATCTCAAGAGCGTACATAGCTTATAAGAAGGTACAAAACCTTACAAGATAGTCTATTCCTTTTCCAAACTAATATTTATAGGACCCTTTAAAAACATAACTTTCAACTATATTACATATGTACAAAGCTTATACAACAAGGTCTTCTTCAAACTTGCTCTTCATCACCTACATACAAATAGGGGGAGAGGGGTGAGCCATAACCCAATGAATAGTATTATAACAAAGTGGTACAATGAATGAACATTAACAAGTCTTACAAAACAATAACCATTCATATTCAAGGGAATAACTAGCTTGGGTACCGTTCAAACAAACCCACCTGCAAGTGGACAAAGCCGAGGATGCTATCTTTATACATTGGTACATAAACATAGGATATTCATTCTCATCAAAGCATTCCAATGTAAACTGAAATATAATACAATTGAGTTCCAAAATAAGAGTTCAAACATAACTTTAAAATAATACTAATCACCAATGGCTTTTAGGAATGGGATCATGCTCAAGATTGTAACCTACATAAGTGTAAAGAGCAACATTCATTGAAACACAAGTCCAACTAGCACAAATCCTAAGTCAATCTTTCATCTTAATTTGATTCATTTTTCATTTTGAAACAAGTTTAAGAATACTATTAGAGCCTTCTCTAAGTCTCAAAACAAGTCCTAAGGGTCAAAAGTGGTCCCAAAGGGTCAAAATAGTACAAAAAGGTAATGCTGAAAAGCAGAGTTCTGCTAGTGTGGAGGTTTTGGCCGCATGTGCAGAGCTCTTGCAGAATGCTCCAAGTCAGGCTTTGGTCATGCAGAGAGTTGGGCTGCTTGTGTGGAGGCCCTTGAACTTTTATCTGAGGCTATTGGACAAGCTTCGCTCATGTGGAGGCTCTGTGCAGGCACGTGCGGAGAACAGTTGTTGCAGCTGTCTACTTCTCTTTCGAACTTCAACTCATTCCCAATTCAATTTTTACCATTTCAAAGTCCAAAAACATGAAATTTCTCAGTACAAAACCTTCCAAAATCATATGGAACTTGTGAATCTCAAACTCCTATTCAAAACTTTAGCTTTTACTTAACAAAATCATGAACTTTAACCAATTCATTTATTCACCATAGTTTATTCTATCTTTTCTTCATTCTTTCATTCAAATTCATTTTCAACATAGGCTCTATCAATTTTGTGAGTTACATCATTCTTACCTTTGAATCAACTAAAAGAGGTTCTGTGTCAAGAACTAGGTCCCTTTTCTTCCTTGCTGCTCTCTTTTCCTCCTCGCTTCTTGCTTCCAAGTTCCAGCAGAATTTTTTCTCTATGTTCCTTATTATCCTCTTTTGTATTTCGAGAGAGACACTCGTCTCTTCTAAGCTCAACCTCATCCCTCCTAGTAGGAGCTGTACAACACATCTGAAGGTGTGTGGGTGCTTCACCTATGTGTATGCTTCACCAATTTTAATCCTTCCAACTAGTTTAGTTAATCAAGCTTAGTTATAATTAATCAAGGTTAGCCTCTAGTTTCAATAAACTTAATTAATCTCACTTAAATCTGATTAATTCTACTTAATTATTCTAACTCCGATTAAGGTTTTGCACATGGCATGGAATCATCTAACATATTAATTCTTTAAGCTCCTTGACTAGGGATTTAGGATACATGTTCCCTAAGTTTACAAGAAGACTATCCCCTAACTTTTAACATCTAGAAACCACATAGTAAAGAGCTACCATGTCCAAGGCTTCATTACTTAATATCTTTTAACTGTAGCATGCATTTTCTAAGCTTCAATATAACATTTCATAGCAAGACTGTCAATGCATAATGTAAGGCAAGTAATCATGGATAATGTATTCTCATATCATGCAAGAACATCTTGGGTGTTACATTGAAACACAGCAACTTTGCCATATTCTATATCGCACAGAAATTTTTTTAGCTTGTATATTTTTCTTATAAATTATCAGCTTCTAGATAAGGATAAGTTGCAACAAGTACACCTCATATTTTCCTGGACTAATTATGATTGCCTTAAACTGCAACACCCAGCTCTGGCTTATTAATCCTGGCGAAATACAAAAGAAAACCCCTACAGCTTCTTATCAGAATAGCCTTGCTTTCCATGGTTCTGCTGTAAATGCTATTCGCTTCTCACCTTCTGGTAAGGATCGACCTCTATTTCCATTGTAGTTTATTCTATTGAGGACACTGTTTTGGAAAACTAATGGAGAACATGGCAACTGGATATAGAAAGTATTCACATTTTGGTAACCATTTTTATGGCATATATATTGTTTCTAAATTATATTTATTAATTTGCAGGATTGACTTTTTTCCCTTGTGGATATGCAGAGACTGATTAGAGTTTATGGCACTCATACTTTTGTTTATTTGAATGTATTCTTTTCTTGAAAGGCTAGATTTTTATAAATTTTATTAGTTAATCGGAATTTCAAGCATCATTATTCTATTTTCAAAGTTTTCTTCTTTTAATTCTATTATTCCATCCAATATATGTTCAATTATATTGGCATGTACCTAGGGAAGTTATCATTGTTTGTACCCAGTTGATCAATTGAGGGTTTTCTTCTTCTTTTCTTTTGATTGAAATAAAAGTTAAACACAAGCTAAACAAAAGAAAAGAAAATTACAAAATGAGGGCTAATTTCTCGCATAACTTACTCTGATCATATCAGCTATGACCAAAGCCCTAACAGATTCTGGAGGGTCTTCCAGAACTATAACATGTTTATCTTGTTCTACTCCCAGTTTAGGCATTTCATCCGCTCATTTGTTTCCCTCTCTCAGAGTATGGCCAATGGAGCATTTGCATCTCTCCAATAGTAATTTAGCATCCTCAATCACTGCCCTGTATAGGGAGTTGTGGTTTGCACCATCCCAGACTAGGCGTACTGCCATCTCGGAGTCTGATTAGATATCCACCTCTTGAATGTCTTTCTGGAATATGATGGTGAGTCTCCTATAAATAGTCCAAATCCCAGCTTCTAGGCTTGAACAGTTTCCCAACTTCCCATAGTATCCCCGAACCCAAGAGCCTGCTTTGTCTTCTTAGCAATCCACCATATTTGGCCTGCCCTGGATATATATATATATATATATTAAGCATTTGTTGGTATTTAACTTGAGCTTACCTGCAACAGGAAAAGGCCAACTTATTAGTCTTGATTCTTTATGGTTGGGAAAGAAAGAGAGGGAAGTGGAAAGCCTCTTGGATCTCTTTAGTGTAATCTAAAATCTTTTTAATGCTTATCTAAACCGGATGTTGTTGATGTTCAAAAACCATTTTATTCTTGTGTTTCCAAATTTGTTGTGCATGAACAAAAACTTACTTTTAAAGAGGGCTGTTTGTAGGGTGAATTTTGGAATAAGAACTTGCAGGCACATAGTTTATAAACCATTGCAAGTCCATTATATCCCCATGAGTCATTGCTTTTAAGTCATTTTGTTGATGTCGTTATCGCTGTTTTGAGTCATTTTGTCGATGTTGATGTTTTGAGTCATTTTGTTGATGTACCAACTTGAGGACAAGGTTTTTTTATTTTATTTTTAGTCTAATGTAGTAAGATTTAGTGGTGTAGTTAATTTTTTAGTAACACGAGTTGTGTCTTTTATCCTATAAATAGGTGGTTAGGCCCCTCTAGTATTTAGTTTTATGACATTTGATATTGTAATATTGTGAGCTTTGGCTCTTGTATTTTTGTTTAGAGACTTTCTCTCTAATGAAATCTATTCTATAATTTTGGTTTCATCACATACCAACCACCTATGCCATGCCATGATACACTCTCTGAGGTGCCATACCACCTTTGCAGTTCCCATGATATTGCCTCTGAGGTCTGAATCATAGGACACAACGATAGACTGAGTACCTCCGCTCTGTCGAGCCTAGGAGAGTTGGCCACCTGTCCATAGGCGAGTTGGCCTCCAATGGTCTTGGATCCTATAAACGGGAGTATCCATGCATGTAAACATCATCACAACTCTGGTTATCATCTTCCCTAGCCTCGATGACTCTTAGTGCCACTTTCTCTCCCTCTAAGGTTGCCTTGGTTCTTTCCTCCTACGCCTTCGACGATTCTTGGCTGCTGAAGTGCCTGCCATCTTCTCAGAGATCCACAACCAAGCACCTGACATACCAAATGCCGACACCACTAAAATCAGTGGTACACAACTGCTGAATGGAAGATGGAATCACCTAATAAATACTGAAGTAACCTCAACCACAAACTCATCACACCACCAGGCAATGCAACGAAAGATGGCCAATACTCTCCTTAGCCTCCTGCATATGACACATTACTGTGGAGATTAGCAATTAAGCATTCTCTTCTAAGATACTTGCTAAAACAATTTATGGTCTCTTCAGTTTTTTTTGTTTGTTTTTTTAAATACTATTGTTTGAAGATGGAAATAATATTCACATTACTTGTGCAGGGGAATATCTTGCCTCTGGTGCTGATGGTATGAATTCGTTCATTGTTTTTCACGAATTTTATTGATGAATAAATGATTGAAACTTTTGCAATGATTTATGTTATGTAACGTGTTCTTAGATTGAGTTCTTGTGAATGTAGGAGGTGAGCTGGTCATATGGAAATTACACTTTACCGATGCAGGTCAAACATGGAAAGTTCTGAAGACATTATCGTAAGGCCTTTCATTTAAATTAGCTTTCGTTTTGTGATTTTTTGAAGTTGGCAACTGTTTAGGTTGCATTGAGTCTAAGTTAGGCTAGAAACTAGCTGACCTGAAACAAATTGCCTAATTATTTGTTAGGAATGTTTGGCGGTTCTATTTAAATCCTATCCATCTATAGGATGGAAATTTGATATTTCACATGTGGACTAATATGTTAGAATAGGAGGTAGCATAATATGTTTCATAGGTCATAAGGATTGGGAAGACTAAAGCAGCTATGAAGCTGAGACAGACATGAGATATGGATATGACCCAATACAGACACACTGACACAGTAATTTATAAAAAATAGTAGACATGACAATTATATTTTTATATGTATATGCGAAATAATAACTATATAACTATCTCTTATTTGTACAATATAAATGCATTTATATTTTATTACATCAAATTAGTAATAAATCTAATTTTCACATTCTACGTATTGAAAAAATAAGTGTGAACAAAAAGTCTTAATGTCTATTTTAGAAAGCTCTACTGATGGACAAATTAAAAATTCTTGGCTTTAGAATTCCTAGATTTAGAAATATGGAGTGATTAATAGGTATAAATCCCTTATTTTATTTTATTATTGAATCCCAAGATACTTTCTTCAAATTTGCAATGTGTTTCATGTGTGTTCGAGGCTTCAAGCGATGGATATGAGTCCGCCAAGTTTCTGAACTGTCCAGTTATAATTTTTTTATTTTTGTAAATAGTAGATGTTTGGACCCATGTCTGACACATGTCCAACACAGATCCGGCACAAAATTCCCTTAGAAGTGTTCGTGCTTAACAATGGAGTTGCTTACCTAAATCAAAAGTCATCCAATTTTTGTCTGATTTCGTTCTAGGTTAATAGCATGGGCTGAATAAGGAGATCTATGAGTCTGTGACAGTGTCTGACATTACACTCTGACACAGACATGTTGGTAATAGTATTATCTACTCCTGTAATTTTATAGTAGTCTTTTGTGGCTCAGATTCCATCGAAAGGACATGTTGGACTGCCAATGGTGACTAATGTTAATAACAAAACCCCAGAGCAATGATATATGCTTTGAAATATGAATCCTACAGTTAATAGTGAACTTGCTTTCCAGGTTTCATCGTAAGGATGTGTTGGACCTGCAGTGGTCTACTGATGGTGCATTTCTTGTTTCTGGATCAGTTGATAATTCTTGCATTATATGGGATGTTAACAAAGGTAAGGAAGGCAATGCATGACTGGCATTTATTAGCAAAATTTGAAGTTACACTTTAATTCTTACATTTGTTTTCTTCAGGTTCTGTTCTTCAGATCTTAGATGCTCATCTCCATTATGTTCAAGGTGTGGCCTGGGACCCATTGGCCAAGTACGTTGCTTCACTTAGTTCAGATAGAACTTGCCGGATTTATGTAAACAAGCCTCAAAGTAAAGATAAAGGCAATGAGAAGAGGAATTATGTTTGTCAGCATGTGATTGCAAAGTCGGAACATCAAATGATAGATGAGTCTAAGGTCAGAAAATTAGTCAATCTTCTACAATACCATGCTTCGGAAATTGATTTCTTAGATATAATAATAAGATTTAGAAATGGATGTAATGCAGTCAGTACAAAGCCATCTCTTTCATGATGAGACACTGCCATCTTTCTTCAGAAGGTTAGCCTGGTCACCTGATGGATCATTTTTACTTGTGCCTGCAGGTATGGACCTATATAAATGTTTTGTTTATTTAGTGAAACGTGCAGTCTAACACTTCTTTCCATGATGGATTCCCTGAAATTTGATAACCTGATGGAGTTTTCTGGTTATGCTATGGTCTTAATGCATGTTTTGCCTTTGATTATTGTTTGCCGCTGTTATTTGTGCTAGTAAATAAATAATCTCAGCTGTGAAATGATGTTTAGAGTTTAGATGGAGTCCATTAAAGTCCTAATTATCCAGTTTTGTTTGCTTTTATTATTATTGTTGTTGTTGTTGTTTTGGCTATATTCTTAATGGTTAGTGTTATAGTGGTCTGGCATGGATGTATGCTTGGTCTGGGTGTTAAGATTTGCAATCTGAGTCACAATCCCTGCATCAATGTTCTGTTGTTTGTTGAATCATCAACCCCATAACATTATACTGAACGATGTACTTTGGATATAGTGAACTAGTGGACAGTTTGATTTTAAGGATGAGTACCTGAGAGTTATTTTATAGTTTCAAACATGATAGAACATGTAGAATGTGATCTGAAAAATGTGTTTGTCATGATCATAAAGATGCAGATATCTCAATCTTGATGTAGTTGTGATGCACATCATTTTAAACTGAGAACTAAGCTACAAGAGGGGGCAGCAACCTAGAAATCCACCAGCATAGTTTTTCTTTACTGTTTGTTTTTGTATGTATGTCGAGGAAGATGAACTAACATGTTAATTACTTTTGTTTGAGAGTTTGATTTGTTGTCTGTCATATGTTGCAGGAGCCATTTAAGTATGGAGCCTAGTCTTTTGGCTATTCCAAGTTAGATAGCCTGATTTTCAGCTGTCTCAGCTAGTTGATGAAGTTGTTATTTTTCACTGTAATTCTTAAAACTTTAATGATATGTAAATGAATTTCTGATTACAGGTTCTTACAGATTCTCACCTGCATCTGAACCAGTTAACACCAGTTATGTTTTCTCTAGAAAAGATCTTACAAGGTAACACATTTACTTAAATTTTCTATTGTCTGGAACCATATACACCATTTATGAGTTTCATATCCTTTAGGATTGAACCCTGATTTTTCTTAATGTTAAATTTGCCAAAATATTTGTGTTATATATTATTTTCAACATATTCTGCTATGTTGTTTGATGGTTCAAAGTACAGAAGAGTCCATCTACCATTCATTTTCACGTTCTTTCCAACATGTTCAGGCCTGCTGTAGTGCTCCCTGGTGCCAGCAAACCTGTCGTTGCAGTGCGTGTCTGCCCAGTGGCTTTTGCACTAAGGACTTCAAACTCAGGTACTTAAAAAGCAAATTGTAGTGTCGGCAAAGAACATGTATAATAGTGACTTTTTGTTATATACATAGTACTATGAGAATCTGAATTGCTTCTCTCTTTTGAATTGTGCAGATGCTTTGTTCAAGCTCCCTTATCGCCTTGTTTTTGCAGTGGCTACTTTAAACTCTTTATACATCTACGACACAGAAAGCATTCAACCAATATCAATCTTGGCTGGACTTCACTATGCAGCCATAACTGACATTGCATGGTGTGTATATTTTGGACTCTCCATTTAAACATGTTTCCAATTTTCATCATGTATTCTAATTTGGACAATCAATCATATATTTCCTCTGGAGTTTTTGATTGGTTATGATATTTCGTTTTTAAAGGTCGGCAACAGGAAAATATTTAGCATTGTCCTCTCAAGATGGTTACTGTACTCTTGTAGAATTTGAAAATGATGAACTAGGATCACCCATCTCTTTATCAGGTATATTTTTGTTTCTGATGATGACTTGTATCAGTTTTTTGCCAATCTATACTTTTTTTATTATTTGTTTTTGAAACTTGCTAGTTGTTGAAAATTGTACTTTCCAAATATGTATGTTCTCAGAAGAAGGAAAGAAAGGCATGGATGATGAGAGTAAGAGCAGCATTGAGAAACCAGAGGATATGGAGGTGGAAGGAACTTTGAACAACAAAAAGGTACCAGCACTACTAGTAGTAGAAAATGAAGGAAAACAGCAATCATCAGTGATTATTCCCATGCAGAACAATAATAATAATAATAATAATAATAAGCCTGCTGCTACTGCTGCCAAGAGGCGCATTACTCCGATGGCCATTGATTGACCATATATATGCTCTCTCTCTCTCTCTCTCTCTCTCTGTGTATATTTTCACTACTTAGAAAACTCTCAATCAATCACAAATCGGTTATGCCTTTTAGGTGTCCCCATCTCTTTTGGTCGATTTTCTTGACTTTCCTTTTATTTGTATCGAGTGAAAATTTTCCACTCAATATATAGTGAGCGAGTAGTAAGCTCAAACTAACCTTCCAGTTAGTCTTTGCTGTCTCTCTGTAATTTGAATTTTATTTTTAGGTGCTTTGTAGATTATCATTACTCTTTATCTATAAATGGAGAAACTATTTCTTTTTGTGTGTATGTATATCATTTTTTATGCTTGCAATTTAACTGCCCTGTTTGTGCAACGAGCATTTTGTGGTTTTATCCAATTTTGACACCTTGTAACTTCAAAGCTTGGCATACTTTAGGATGGTTTTTGTTTTTGTTTAGTGTAAAAAAAAATTAAAAATTAAAAATTAAAAAAAATCACTTCTTATGTGTTTCCATGTGAGTTTCACAATGCCCACGTCATTTTATTGTATGAATCAGGGTGGGCGCGAGGTCGGTTGTGATCATGGAACTTTCAATTCGTTGTCTATCTGTGAAATTGGCGAAGTGGAGAAAATCAATCCGCATCCGCCCGACAATCCGGCGGATTTGGATTGAGTGGATTGACGGATGAATGTGAATCGGTTTGGCGGTTTAAAATTTTATAAATTTTCAACATAATTCAACTTGTGCACTTCTTAAAAAAAAAAAATTACAGTTTATGATTTAAAAATATATTACAATCACTGTATGTCTCATCTAAATAAAGAAAGTTTAAAATTTTAGAATATTATAATCACTACATGCCTTATTCACATATTATAATCATAGCATGTCTCGTCCACATAAAGTATTACAATATGTGGTTCTTAAAATACAAAAATAATTCAAACTATCAAAACAATGAACAGAGCAGTAATAGAGATTGTATATCTATATTGTTACATGTATATCTATTTTTGAAAATAAAAATCAACCAGCATATATAATCTTTTTTATTTATTTTTTTTGAGTTAGATTTAAAAATCAAAAAATATAGATAAATAATACATTTATTTTTTTCAATTCCAAAAATATATTCAAGTCGAAAACTCTTTTTCAACAGAATATATAAACTCTTTTTTAATTGAAAACACAAACAGAATATATAAACAAATTGAAAACACAAAGTTTTACAAATTAATAGAGGTGCTCTTGTTTTGGCGGTTCGGTTATGGCTAAATGAACCTTAAATCCGTCATTCGTCCAAAATTAGGAAGATTAGAAAAAATCAATCTGCAACTGTCCGTTCGTCATCACACATCCATTCAAAATACGACGAATCGGTTTGGTTCGGTTGGTTTGGACGAATCGGTATATCTGCTACTCACTCCTAATATAAATAAGGTGAAGTAAAAAAATAAAGTTGATACAGTAATAAATATCAGTTCTCTTATCAATAAGTACTAATTTTCCTTTGAGATTATCATGAGTCCTATCAAATTTTAAAGTCTTGGTTAAAAATTAAAAAAAAAATAAAGAAAAAATAAAGTCTCTATAATTATATATTGTATTCTACTTTTACCTCTTATTAAAAAATTATTGGTCATGAAATTATAATTGATATGTTAATGGGAATAGATAAAATTAGAATAAATTATGAAGGGGAACTTGTTATTAACAAGTTATCAAAATAAGATTTAATTGCCTACAAAAAACTTAATACGTTTCAATAACAAACCTTGAGAAAAAGTAGTAAATGATAATATTTCCTTACTAATTTTGTAACTAAAAATGTGAGAATGGTCAATTATGTTTTCGGTATTGTAACTTTAGAATTTGTCATGAATTTTTTATGTTGTAAACTTGATTTTGTTAAACTATGAAACAAGAAGACCTTATTTTATATATTTTTAGTTTTCATAATAATTTATTCGCATCTTAATTTATGTATAAAAAAAGAAAAGAAAAGAAAAAAGAAGTAATTACTTATTATTTTACATGTTTTTTTTTTTTTTGTATATATATATACACAATAGGAAGATGCCCGTGTGGGCTATTAACATAACTTTGGTATATTAATCATATAATATTATTTTACCGTGTGATGTTATGAGTTCAAATCTTATAGAAAGTATTTCGATACCTTTTGTTATCTTATTCTCTTATCAACAACTAATTTCTACTGTGTTACCGTTTATTTATGTTTATGATATAAGAAATACATTGTAAATTAATTACTCCATCCATCTTATTTTGTTTACCCACCTTTCCATTTGGGTCTGTCCCAAAATGTTTATCTACTTTTTATTTTGGAATATTAAATTTTGTTAGGTTTCCAAAATTACTCACCATAAATCATTAGTCTGAAAAATATTTCAAATTTTGAATTAAAATATAATGATTGTATGTCTCCTTAATAAGTTGAATTTCTTATAATGGACAAGCAAATTGAAATGGAAGAAGTGTTATTGATCATTATAAGGAAATAATTATTCTTTACGAAAGCTAAAGAATGACCACTTGATTCCATAGTACTTCACCTTTATTCCACATAATCAAACTTTACCAAAGATTATTATTCAAAAAAAAAAATAAATTATTCTCTCACAGAATTAAATAGAATTATAAATAGTATTATAGTAGATAAGTTATACAATCATATAAATAAATTGATGAGATTAACAATATTTGACATCTCTAAGAGCATCTCAACCAAATTTAGAGAAGCCATTTAAAAAATAAAAAATTAGGTAACACTTTGACATCTTCAAATTTGGCATTTCTACTGTTAATATATATTGTATATATTTAGGTATATTCCGTGAATATCTAATATATTCCCTGTAAATCTAGGAATCATTCCATACTTGTAAATCTAGAAGTCCATACTTGATTGTAAGGGGCTTTTCCCTAATTAAGCTAAAATACCAAGCTATTTCTCAAACTATGCCTAGTTTTGACGGATTTTTAAAATAAATTAAAACGTGGTTAGAAACCATACTTTCACCGTTTTTGTAACCTAACCGCAGAAAATTTGTAAAATCGTATAAGCGTGGTTACAAACCACGCTTTTAATTAAGAAACCATTGTTTCTAACCACGCTTTTAAATAAAAAAAATTTCTTCAAAAAACGTGATTTCTAACCACATTTTAAAAAAAAGCTATGTTGTAAAGAAAACGTGATTATAAACCACGCTTTCAATAACAAACTATCACGCACTCACAAACCCTCTCTCTCTCTTTCTCTGACACACACATCACTCACACACACACTCACACTCACACCAAAATAAAAATAAATAAATTTTAAGAATTAAATAAATAAAAATAAATAAATAATGTTTAAAAATAAATAAATTTTAAGAATTAAACCCTAATCCCTAAAATAAAAAAAAATAAATTTTATCCCTAAACACTAAGGTAGCGTTGGGTAACGTTTACGTTTTTGGTTTATGTTTACAAAAATTTTATAAACTGGTTTTTTGTTTATTTTTAGGAAAAACATAAATTACAAATGTGTTTGGTTTAAACAAAATGTTTAAAAAAATTTAAAAACATAAACTAAAAAATATGTTTGTTCAAGTTTAAAATATTTATATTTGTATTTATTATTTATGACAATGGGATCACACATATTATAATTGAAAAATAATTAATTAAAAAAATAATTGAAAAAATATATATTTGAAAAAAAAATTAATTGAAAAAAAAATTATTGAAAAATAAATTATTTAAAAATAAATTATTTGAAAAAAAAATTATCCCTAAACACTAAAATAAAAATAAAAAAATTATCCCTAAACAGTAAAAAAAAATTTATCCCAAAACACTTCCCTAAAAAAATTTTCAGAGAATTTTAGTGTTTAGGGATAAAAAAAATTTTAGTGTTTAGGGATAATTTTTTTTTTCAAATAATTTATTTTCAAATAAAAATTTTTTCAATTATTTTTTTAATTAATTTTTTTTTCATTTTTTTTCAAATATTTTTTTTTTCAATTAAATTTTTTTCCAATTAAATTTTTTTCAATTATTATTTTTTAATTCATTTTTTTCAATTATAATATGTGTGATCCCATTGTCATAAATAATAAATATAAATATAAATATTTTAAGCTTGAACAAACATATTTTTTAGTTTATGTTTTTAAATTTTTTTAAACATTTTGTTCAAACCAAATGCGTTTGTAATTTATGTTTTTCTAAAAATAAACAAAAATCAATTTATAAAATTTTTGTAAACATAAACCAAAAACGCAAACGTTACCAAACACTACCTTAGTGTTTAGGGATAAATTTTTTTTATTTTATTTTAGGGTTTAGGGTTTAATTCTTAAAATTTATTTATTTTTATTTATTTAATTCTTAAAATTTATTTATTTTTATTTTGATGTGAGTGTGAGTGATGTGGGTGTGTGTCAGAGAGAGAAAGAGAGAGAGAGAGAGAGAGAGAGTTTGTGAGTGCGTGATAGTTTGTTATTGAAAGCGTGGTTTCTAACCATGCTTTCTTTACAACACAACTTTCTTTAAAAGCGTGGTTAGAAACCTTGTTTTTTGGAAAAAAAAAAAAATTTCTTTAAAAGCGTGGTTAGAAACCACGTTTTTTGAAAAAAAGAAATTTATTTAAAAGCGTGGTTAGAAATAACGTTTTCTTAATTAAAAGTGTGGTTTGCAACCACGCTTTTACGATTTTACAAATTTTCTGCGGTTGGGTTACAAAAACGATGAAACCGTGGTTTCTAACCACGTTTTAACTTATTTTGAGAAATCCGTCAAAACTATGCCTAGTTTGGGAAATAGCTTGGTACTTTAGCTTAATTAGGGAAAAGCCCCTGATTGTAACACTCTCCTATATATAGGAGTCACTGTACCTTGATTCTGAGATAGATAATTCATATATATATTTCTCTTAACCATTTTAATATGGTATCAAAACTCTAAATTATAGCAACTTTTCTTTTCTTTTTCTACTTAGAGAGTACACAGTGGTACTACAACATTCATTCAATCACCCAAACACTTTCAGCATTTATTCAATCACCCAAACATTGATCGGACTGTTTCGCCATATTTTTTTATCCAAAATTTTTCCCCTTAGCATCAACTGATTGGAATCTTTTCACGATTCCAACGGCACCGATCTCATCACCAGAATGTCCCTCACCTGCCCTCACACGTTGTTTTTGTGATCGACGCATCAATTGCTTCTGCCATCACTCGCACACGTGCTTCCACGAGTGCCCAGCCACGCCAGCTGCTCCGCCACTTAGCTGGTGACGTCATCCCCTTTA